GGATGCCGGAATTGTATGAATTGCTAGGACGGTTAGATTGTTTAGGCTCTGCCTCTTCAATACGCCGTGTTCGCGACCAAGGTGCCTATACCATGTTGCACGACACCTTCCACAACCCAGTGGGAGGTGGGACGGCAGAGCTCGCCGTGGGAAACTGGGTCCTGGCTTTTTGCGGGGTCTTGCTGGAGCCCACCGTGGCAACACACTGGACGGGCCGCAACGACGATGCCGCCGGCTCCTTTATGGAAAGTTGGGTAGTCACGTTGCGACAGGCCCCTGACCCCCCGAGCCAAAGCCTGCTGGAAGAGTTCGTACGGCTAGGAGAGCTGGCCCATCGCTTGATCAAGCCGCTTTGCCAAGTGAAGCAGGTCTACGACCTGCTTGACTGGAGGAAAGGCAGGAAGTATTGCCTCAGTCTGCTGGACCAGCTAGCTGGCCCCCTCTTCGCACCCGAAGCTGCCGAAGGTAGCATGGGCCCAGCCGGTTCTGACGCCACCTCTGCCGTGGCGCGTTCCGCGCCCGGCAAGGAGGAAAGCGTACAGGGCCATTGGGGCACCAAAGAAGAAAGCGAGCCGCTGGAGGTGCGAAGACGGCACGCGCTCTTGGGGAAGTAGCAGCGGAGGCACCAGAAGCGGGCGCAGTAGCGGTCACCCCAGGCACTTTAGAGGCGGAGCTGGGAGTGGAGGAACCTGACTGGTCAGGAGACGAATCTCCGGACATCCCCGTGGCCATCGCAAAAACAGAAGAGGACGAGGAGATGCCCGCAGCAGAAGAAGCTGCTGACCAAGAGGCCCCCAAGCGTCCCAAGCGGATTGTTTTGGCCACTGGCCAGCTAGCCCTTCTGAGGGCTCTCGCAGCCGCCAATGCCAGCAACTGGGCAGATATCCAGAGGACCCTCAAGGAGACCCCTGGAGAAGCCGGAGACAAGGAAGACCTAGTCAACAACCTCACCGACCTCGCTGCCACTTATGCGAAGAATCGGGCCGAGTGCTCACGGGCCGCCGCCCTCAAAGCGGAAGAGCTCGCGGACCTCGAAGGGGAAGAGGCTGAGTACTTGGCTGCGCTGCCTCCCCACCTTCTGGAGTTGGAACGCAAGAACCCGGTCAGGCCAAGCCTCTCCGCGCACCTGGGTTGGGTGGAACACGAGCGGTTCAAGCGAGATGCCGAGATTGCGGGCGTGTGGATGGCTCGACGCTGTGAAAAGTCTAGGTTACGGGCAGCCAAGCACAGGGCGAGCCGACAAGCCGAAACGGCGGGTAACGCAGCCCAAGACCCGGTGTCAGACCGAGTGGATGCCGGCTCCCACCTTAGTTTTCAACTGCGGGAAGCAGCACGGGAGTCGCTGCGAGAATTTCGGGCCGAATTGAGAGCCGGGGCACTCGACACGCCGTTCCGGGCTGGAGATGTCCCCAAGCGAAAACCAGAATCCTCCCGCCGGAGGCGGCTTAAGTGGCAGCGTTTCAGCAAGAAGGCCAAGTCCAAGTACGACCCCTGAGTCAGAGCAGAACCACCCCTATGCCCATCAGGGCGTCCCTCCCGGTGTGTCGAGTTCCAGCTGTGGGTCTACCCCGCCGTGGCTCGCTTCGAGCCCGGCGAAGTATGACCCTACCGACGCCGACCGCAACCACCTCTTTGCACAAGCCACCTGCCGGCCTGAGGAAGCTCCGAATGGCCTTGAGTGGGAAAGGGGCTTCCACTGGGGAATCCTGTGCGCTGTGTGTGCCGGCGGGCTGCTTTGGGCCGCGACTTGGTGCTGCCGCAGAGCATGGGGCGAAACTGTGGCCCACACGACGCCGAAGCCACCGCCAGCGATGCCACCATGGGTGGCTCCAGGGCCTAGGCAGCCGTTGCCCACGCCACACGAGCCACCCGAAACGGTACTCGTTACCACTACGCGAGGGAAGGCCTATCGTCGAAGGGGTTGCATACACGTTCGTGGGCACGAAATTAGGACTTTTCGCCCGTGCCTTGTGTGCCAACCCCACGTGATGTTATATGAAGAAGACGCCCGGGGGAGACTCCGAACTCCAGACCATGACGATGCTCGGCGGGACACCAATCACGCCATTGCTCACCTTTCATGGTGGCTAATGGTGCTTTTGGTGGGAGGGATGAGTTTGGGATGCCTCACTTTAGGTCGTTGGTTGCTGCCGTGGCGCGCTTCGCGCCCAGCACAAGACCAACTGTACTTGAGGGCCGGCAGCCTCGAAAGACGTGTAAGGTTCAGCATGTCGCGGGACAGCGACTCAGAGGCTGAAAAAAGAAAGGCGCCTATGTCTGAAGGCATCGCTGCCCAAAGCAGCCTCACAACTCGCCATCATCGGAAGAGGGGCCGTCACCCTCTGGTAGCCTCCCAAGGAAGTTCCCCTCGAGCTGCCAAACGGGCCTACCCTGACAACGGTCCGCAAGCGGGGGTGCTCCCGGCCAACGCATGGGCGAGAGAAAGCCTGAAGCTCGTTCGGGATCACCTCTCCCCGGCAACTCAACGGCTCTACGATAGCCACTGGCGATGGTGGGAGCTCTTTACCCGGAGAAAAGGTGTCTCAGCCCTTCGCACCGTGGATCGGTTCGATCCCGGTGAAGAAGCGCTTTTCCTCGACTACTTGGTGTACCTGTTTGTGGGACAGGGCCTCGCTGCCGCTACAGCACAAGCCCGGCTCGGGGCTATCCGCAGTGTCCACCTGCAACTTGGTTTCCCGGACCCGCTCAAACCGCTCCCGCGGCTCCTTCTCGCCCTCGAAGGGATCCGCAGAAGGAGAGGACCGGTCACGAAGCGCAGGCCGGTCACCCCCTGCATGCTGGCACGAGCCAATAGCGCCCTTCCGCTTGACTTGTGGGGAAGACTGTCCTGCGCGTTGCAGCTGGGGTTCTTCTTCCTACTGCGAGTCTCCGAAATCGTGGGAGGGTCGAACCCACGACTGGGACTCCGGGTCAAGGACGTCGCCCTCTTTTGTGGAGGGAAGCAGCTGCGTCACCCGTCCTTTGAGCAAGCGGACGAGGTGCAGATCGTTGTGAGAGCCTCCAAGACTGACCCAGAAGGAGAGACCGCTACGAGGAATTTGTACCGGAGCGGTGCCGAGGTGTGCCCCGTGCTCGCCACCGCCAGGTACATGGTCTTGCTGTGGAAGGAGTTTGGCGAACCTGCGCCGACCTCCAAGTTTTTTCCGCACTTGTCGAGGCAGGACATACAAGAAGTTCTGCAGACGGTGGCGGCGTCACTTGGAGAAGAGCCGCA